CAGAGCGGCTGGTAGTTTCGAACTGCTGGCCTTAAGGTTCGCAGCCCGATTCGTAATCACTACGCTACCAGAGCTCCTTTTAGATTACATTATTGTTGGTTAGTACCATGGAGTCAGTTCCAACTCATAGTGACCCTGCACAGGGTTTCTGAGGCTGTAAATCTTTACAGGAAGAGAGCACCTCATCTTTCTCCCACAGAACTGCTGGTAGTTTCGAACTGCTGACCTTGAGGTCGGCAGCCTGACTCATAACCATTACGCTACCAGAGCTCCTTATAGATTACATAGGCATACTAAAATTCTTAAATTACAAATTTTTCGTTTTTAATAGAGTTATGAATTATTTAAAGGAATGCTAAACTTGGTGCTTTTTTTTTTTTTTTTTTAAGAGAGTGATATATTCTAGTAGAAAACTTGGGGGTAAATGTCTAGATGATACTAAATGCAGGTTGAACAACAATACATAAAATAATTCCTAGTGGACACCTGCAAGTTCTCTAATATTATATCGCAGGGTTTCGTCTTGTTTCTCTCTGGCTTTATACCAATCACTTGGATGCATAAATAGAATTCTTATTTATAATGTGCAGATTTCCAAACTCTGGGAAAGGTGGCTGGTGTCTTATTTCCTTTGAACCATCTTGGATAGTTGTTGGTCTGATTTGGGAAGTGTTCTAGGTCATCCTGCTGGAAGAATCTTCATTATGACCATGCGGCTACATCACCATCTCCAATAAAATTGACTCCCAACTTGTAGAATAAGGTTTTGTTTTTGAAAAAGCAAATTACTATTCTAAGTAATTTAAGTGACCAGCAAAACTCTCTCGAAGGTCTGGAACCCTACCTTACTGTTGCTTGTCTCTCCTAGTGATTGAATCCTTGCTTTTTACTGGGACATTATTTTAAACAACCAGTTGGTGTCCAATCACCTACAACTCATGGAGACTCTTTGTGTGCCAGAGTAGAACTGCGTTCCATAGGATTTTCAATGACTGCATTTTCAAAGTCAACCACCAGGGTTTTCTTCTGAGGTACTTCTGGGTGGACTCTATGCTACTTCACTGCCAGATGTTTGCATGAATTACAAAATAGAAATGTTCATAGCACAAAGCAGCACTACACCAGGTTGTTAAGGCTTAGCATAATGACATGCACACTGAATTCAATTCAATTTTTTGATGGGTTATTTTATAACAGTTAAAAAGTTTCAAAGATAGAACATGCCAACTCAACTAATAAGTTCCTTCATAGAAATGTGCATATTATTAGGGTGAGAAGGCTGTTTATCAGGAATAATTTAGAAAGGAACCCTGTGTATAGAGCAAGGTTGGAGCTCTTTTGTCTTGTTTCAAATAATTTTTATGTGCATATAATTTTTCCCATCTAAATCAGGCTGCAAACCTCAAGGTCAGCAGTTCAAAACTACCAGCTGTTCCGCAGGAGGAAGATGAGGCTTTCTGCTCCCGTAAAGATTTACAGCCTCGGAAACCCTGTAGAGGGTCGCTTTGAATTGGAACTGACTCCACAGCACATAACAACAACAATTTTTATATTCTTCAGAGATCCTAGTATAATGCCTTGAAGATAATAAACACTCAAGGTTTTGCTTATTGAAAAAAAGATAAAGATTTGTTGGTGTTGTTAAGTGTCTTGAGTCAATCCCAACCCATAGCATCCCTGTTTAGGGTTTCCAAGGTGCTGATGGTGAACTTGAACCACCGACCTTGAAGTTTAAATCTAACTTTGCAGCCCAGAGCATTAACCCACAGCGCCACATCAGATAAAGATAAAGATAAGATACACAAAATACTATACCTCCATGACACCAATTGAAGAGAATGTAAAAAGCTGTTACCACACCCCATTGAATTGTGACCTGATTCATGCCTGAAAGTAGGAAAAAAAGACATTTATTTCTCTCTGAAGAAAAAAAAAAATGTCACAACTGCAATAATTCAGTAGGATAACAATAGATAATAAAAATGACTACTCTTTTCCTATAAATTATCATTCTCTTTGATGATAATCTTTGTTTAGCAAGAAAGAAAAGGAAGGCAGGCAGGAAGGAAAGGAATGTCACTAGTGTATGGGGAAGTATGATAAGAAGTGGCCAAGTTGAGCAAGAAAATGGAAATTCCATACTTTCAAAATCACTATGAATTAATTATCTTAGTAGGACTATTGACCCTTGCTAAAATAATACTTCTCCTAGTCTTTCTCATCAGACATTTTCTGCTTCTTTTCTACATCTGATGATAAAATCTTCTCCTGACAAGAATGATGCGCCTGCTGCACGAACGCGAACTCGGCGGGGCAGCCGGATGGCTTTGCTCGGCTGGGTTTTGGCGGCGGGTGGCTGGCAGGGCCGCTGGGTTCTGCGGACCCCACACCAGGAGGAACTATGCCCTGCGCAGGTGAGAACTCTCTGAGTCCTCAAGGTTGGGAGTGAGACTGGAGTTACAGAGAGGTAGGGGCGGTTGCCAGGGTTTTCCCACATCCAGCAGCCCCTGGAAAATGGCCTTCTCAAGGTCACTGACCTTAACTGAACCTTGTCCTTGCCTAGAGTCCGAAAGTCCCCGCCGTGCCCGCTGAATCATAGGCGATTTGCAGCGCCTTGCTCCTAGACGAAAAAACACCGCCACTTAGAGAATTGCCAAATCTAACCCCCAAAACACCAAGATTGCTTCTTGGCCCCCTGCCGCTCTCAAACCCCAAAGTTCCTTTTGTTCCTATTTCTCCTATTGGGATATTGACTTATGAGCATTTCTTCCTTTTTGGTGCTAACTATGAGAAGCACTCTTGTAGTTGTGATTTGCAAGTACACTTTTAAAGAGATTTGGGGACTCTAGATGAATCCCCTTCCCAGAGCCGCTGCTAATAACGTATGTGAACCGCTGAAAAACAAAGGAGGATTTCGTTTGAGCTTTCCGCTTTGTACCCTTTCGCCTTGCTTGTAATGCGTAGCTGTTCTGTGCACTGAGAACAGTTCTTAATTTCTACCAAGTACTTAAGTGAAATCGAATTCTCTCAATAGCTTTGGAGAGCCACCCCATTTTTTGGGTTCCTCTTGGACATGGATAGTGTGCTAGTGTGGGGCCACAAGGTGATCCCCACCTCTCTGGAAGCATTCCCAAGCTGGTCAACTGCTAGGGATAGTAGCAGATATCCACTTTTTTTTTTTTTTTTTTTTTGTCCCAAATGCTGGAAACATCTTATAACTCCACAAAGCCCAGAAACTATCATCTGGCAGTTCAAGACTGGGCTTCCAGAATGTGGGTACTGTGGACGCGCTGTGAGCAGCTTTCCTGGTACTTGACAAGGGTGGTTTGGAGTAGTGACTAAAGATCATGCCTTTTCTGAGGAGTGGCTTCCCAGCCATGTCCTCCTCAGCAATGGGAACCCTGCGATTGGTTTGGCTAAGGCCCCCTACCGCCATCTCCCAATCTTGGTCAGCAACATGGAGCTCCTTTGGATGGCTGAAGCCAAGATGCCCAGGTTTGGTCACAGCAGGTTCCTCCTGTGCTTGGAGGCAATTTACAGTAAAGTCACAGGCAAAGAACTGAGCTATGAGGGCCTGATGGGTAAACCTAGCATCCTCACATACCTTTACATGGAGGATCTGATCAGGCAGCAGGCAGAGAGGTGGGGCTGGGCCACTCTCATCCAGAAACTCTGCTGTAGGTGATACCCCTATATCTATTGTTTACCATGCCAACATTCTCTACAGCACCTGCACATGGCAAAGCATGAAGGGACAAAGGACCCAGGAGTCGGTGGTCTGTACCTCCATCCTGGTGTGCACTGACATATGCAGTCCCAAGAACCCCAAACCCATGAAACCTTCACAGGGCTGAAAGGAACCTCCATTCCATGGGCACTGGGACTTCAACTTCAGCCCAGGGATCATGGAGGCGTTGTGAACCACGGGAACGAGGCTGTGCACCAGGTTTTCCTCAAGGAAGGGTGGGTTCTGTAGTGAGGACTGAGGCAAGGGAAACATATTTGCTGGGTTCTCAAATCAGGGCCTGGCTCTCTTGCCCCTCTCTCCCTGCTGCCCTACAGTCATCGTATTACTGGTCACTTAGAAGAAAACAGTGGGAGGCAGGGGGCAGGGAGAGGGGAGTCCTGCCAATCAGTAGCCACAGCAATGTGCCCTGAGTGGCAGTTAGAGTGAAATGACTAGTACTGCCTGAACCCCATTCTTGTTTTGCCTCTACTGACAGTCTAACCTCAGGCCAGTCCCTTAAACTCTGTGCCTCAGTTTCCTTCCATTTCAGTGGGGACTTCTGAATAAAAGGGTAGATGGTGTGGAATCATGTGGAGGTTTCTACAGGGCTTCTTCACTCCTGGGAGGGACCATTGCATGCTGGCAAGATATCAGCATTTAGATCCTGCTTTTGACCAGTCTAGTTTATTGTCCAGAGATTTAGGGATTATTTTTCAAATTTAAAAATGATCATAATAAATATTCATGATGCTGTCTCTTAAAAAGAAAGAATTATACACCTATTGTGCTCTAGAAGCACATCTTAGATGAGAAAAAAAACAACAAACAAACAAATTTCAGAACTTCCAGAGAGAAAAGATTCTGAATGTGAAAAGATAAAGGAAGAAGAAGCACCTTTTAAAGTTTATAGAAAAGACTTTTATCTGTAGCAATCTCAAAAGAAATACACTGTAGAAATTCAGAATGATATCGACATTAGTTTACAACTGAAGCTACATTATTCAGTTAGTTCTACTAAACTGATTATTTAATAAACCAAGGCCATCAAGCCATCTATGACTCAGTGATCCTATATTTCATAATCAGCACTATTTAATCTTACCTATTTAATAACACCTGAGGCCTGAATCTCACATTCAGAACAAAAGCAACTAAATAAAGCTCAAGACTTATTAAATAGCATAAAACATCTGATAATATTTTTAAACCTGGAGACCCCATAACTCATGTATACAGGATTCACTTTCAAAATTTGTTAGCAACTGTAGGTCTTCTTTTTATAATAGGCAAAGCAAGCCCGGAAATCTTCCCAGTTAGGAGAAAACTACTTAACAGAACATATGCATAAATTGTTATTTAATGAGATGTCCAACAGTATTACTCAACTCTCAATATTGTTTGTCAATAGCTATTGCAAGAAGTATCATTCAAAGTTAATATGAGAAAGACACCTGGCCCAAATATCTCCAAAAGGAAACATAGTTATCTTTAAGTATTGGGTGATCAGTGTCTCTTTACCTTTCAACTTGTTTGAAGCACATTATTCCTTTTCAGAGTCAGGCCGCTCCTCTTGTTGGTTGTGTCATTGTCTTCTTTTCCTGCTGCCTACCTGCCAATGATCATTTCTGGTTTTCAGCTATGAGCAAATGGAAATGTCAGCAGAGCCCTGACCTACATTTCAGATTCTTGAAGAGAAACTCAAACTGTCCAGTTTGAAATGACTAGTTCTCATTTCACTATTTGGGAAAACCCAGATTATTTTAAATGAACTGCTTTGTCAGTACTTTTTTCTCCCTAGCTTAATTGTAAAACGATTTTTTTTTCCAAGAAGTAGAGCACAAATTTACTTGTCAAATTTTTAAGACATAAAAAAAATGATACTTAGTTTTAATTCATAACCAACACTGATATTGATTATAAATCTGTTTTTTAAAGAAACAAAAATATAAATGTTATAGTTCATTTAATCAAACATTTTTGTTTTTGGATATCTATTATGTGTCAGGCATTTTTCTGGGCATGATAAAATAGTGATTAATTACAGATCAGATTCTTTGTTTCATTGTTTACAGTGATTGAATACAATTCAACTCTTTTGAACTATATTGCTCATGGTTTAGCAAGATTCCACAAGTGATTTATTTTAGTGATGAATATTTATTTATTTATAATAGAAATAGAATCAATGGTCACTAACAACAAGAAGCATCAACTTTTCTGGTGTGCCCTACCTCCCCAACTCTCCATTTTTATTTATTCAATATGCATTTCTTTTCACTTCATGTGCTCTCTTCTACTGTAAATGACAAATCGCTTGTCTCCTCTTCAGTGAGCATCTGAACTTTGATTTGTCTTTTCAGTTTTTATTTCTGAGTACCTAGCAAATTACAATAATCTGAGAGACCATTTAAACATTCCTGTACTTAGATTCATTCTAAGCAGTTAAAGATGTGGGAGTTCACATTGATATTGTTCAAAGATTTCAATGATAAGGAGCACCAAGCGTTGAAAAATACTGGATTCTCTGAATAAGGATGACCTTGAAGACAATTGATTTTCAAAGAATAGTAAAATGGAGCAGAACCATAGAAACATAAAGTTTCTATGAGTCAGAGCTGACTCTATGACAGTAACAACAATCAAAATAAAATTCTAATCTGTGAAGGAGAGAGTGTATGAAAACATTTCAAGTACAGAGGAAAGAATATGAAAGTAAGGTGGATATTTTTGGGACTGGAAAGTTGCTTCCCAAAGTTGAAGGAAATAGGATTTGAGCTGGAAAACCAGGTCAATGCCAGAATGGAATGGATTAAGCAATTCCTTTATCTTACAAGTAATGAAGAGATATCAAAAATTGCTCAGCAGAAAAATAACATAACCAAGTTGAATTTTAGAAAGATCATTCTAATTATGGTGTGGAGAATTGATTGAAGATGAACAGCCAGTTGTGATGCTATTGAAAATCAAAGGCAGTAAGAACTGAGAGGAGGAAGTAGAACTGAGAGCTACTGTGATGGCTGATCTTACAGGTCATCGTGATCAATAAAGCAATGGTGTCCACAGGTGGTGTGCAGTGAACAACCTGTGTGGGAGGTTAAGGATCTAAGATCACCAGAAGTGATTCCCATGACATTAACTGAGCACAGAAAAAGTGGAGG